TTGTTGCCTAGGGATGATATCATCGCTGGATTCAGAGGCTGGCTATAAACAGCTTCTGATGCTAACAGATCCCAAACAACTAACTGGGAAATAAATCTATCAAGTAAATTTTCAGGACAATTAGAAGGTGGATAAAACCCTGACCCTAACTTAAGCAAGTCCACATTTACAGATAGTAATTTAGCTTTGTTTTGTATCATGTTAGGATACTAAGAAGAACTGGACCCTTGCTAGAAGACAGGTTTAGTTTTTTTTTTTATCCTAACATGATACAAAACAAAGCTATATTTTTTTTTTTTTTTTTCTCAGGTGCAAACCTGAGAAGCTATGTGGCTGGAAACAGCTCAGTAAGACTGGCTACAGCTTGGGAGACCCTGAAGTGAAGAGCTCACACTTGGATAAAGCACAGGCCACACAGACTGTCCAGAAATTTGTGTGGAACTCAAGAGTAAAATCTGTTGGATAGACACCTAGAGCCTGAAGATGAGTGGGGGCTGAGCACGGGGAAACTAGGAGATGAAAGTAAAGGCTTTGGTTTGGGTGGAAATCAGTCCTAGAAGCCCAAAGCCAGGCTTGTAGACAACTCAGACAAATGGAAACATAAACTAGTCAAAGATCCCAGCCAGATGTGACCGGATGCCAGGAGGAAGAAGGTAGACAACAGCAGGCAGAGGGGCACGGGAGAACATCAAGGGTAAGCTGCTTTGATGTGAATCTGATCAATGGAGGGGGGGTTCCTGTTTTTGGATTCCAGCCTAGAATCTGAAAGAGAACAGAGTATGGACGTGCTTGCCAAGAACGCTCCTGTTCTTCTGTAACATGCAGAGGCATGTGTTTGTTTTGCTTCAGCCTTACCGAAGTTTTGCTTCACTTTCTGTTCCCCTAATTGTTTCAGCAGGGCTGGTTAATCCCAAGGGAGCAATCTGAGGAACAATGACACCTATTATCTGAGCTACTATAGTTGCAGTAAACTTGACACATGGTCTTAGCAGGTGTTGCTCTATAGCTATTATTTCCTTTCCCTTCAAGGAAAGACACCTGGCTCTCTGTTGACTTAGGGCAGGCTGAAGAGGGACTGCAGTGCACACAGAACGGTTACCATAGAAGGTATTTACTTAGACCCAGGGTGGTAACAGTCCTGCTTTATTGCAGAAACATCTGAAGCAAATGAAATGCCCAAGAGAGAAATACAGGGCACAGCCTGACTATGAGGAAAACAGCAAGTCACAGAGGAAGAAATTCTACCTCATGGTGGTGAAGTAAGATGAGGAATGTGGGCCCTTTTTGGTTCTTTGCCTAAACCCAATCCCCTCCTCCATCTAAACTGGATGCTGAGACCTCCATTGGTATGCAGCAGCCTCCTTCCAGGCCCTTCATCCACACTCTTGCTTCACCAGCTGAGCATCAGTGACTAGGTACCTATCTGTGTGATCTGCCTATATGGATCATCTGCTCCCACCTTTGAGAACAGAGGACTGCTTTGTTCTGTCTTCTATCTGTCCTGATCCATTTCATTTCCAATGAAGGCTGACCCCTCCCAGACTGCAACTAGTTGAGTTTTCTGTTCCACTTTATGCTGATCTTCCAGAACAATCCAACTAATGAACAGTTGTTCATCCCTAACCACTTTACCTAGCTTCTTATAGATGGAGCTGCTTGCGCACTGTACATATCTCAGCAGGTATGCCCTATCTGTTGGTTACGTCTGTTATTTTCTTATAAAAAATCAACACCATCAACATATAGTATATAGCATTCAGTACTCAAAATTACTATTTTGGAAAGTAGCAGGTTGCAACTATCAATCCACAAAGTACTACTTTGAATGTAAAGAAATGAGTATAATTTTTTAATCATCTTTAAAAATATCAGTGAGGAATTTATGAGTCTTCCAATGGCTCTGTTTTGGTATTGAATCAAAGGATAGCAAAAATCTAAGTTGCAGATACATGAAAATCTATTGAAAACAGCTAAGCATGTCTCTTCCTAGACACAAAAAATGTGCACTTACTTATAAACTGTTCTTCAGCAGACATATCATATTTCCAGCTCAAAATACCCAGCAGAGATGAATAATAATTGGTAATCACCTTTCTTTCTCCTACTTAAACTCTTTATGCTAGAACAGCAACAAAGTCTATTTGCACATGATTATGTGCAAATAATCATGGGGTGGGCTCCTGTTTCAGTAGCTCCTTCTAGTTTCATATCAAGTGAGAAAGTAAAACAAAGTTAAAACAAACTTGCACCAAACTAATTCTTATATCATTTTTGAGACTATCATACAATGTTACTCAGGGGAAAAAAACCCACTTTTGGAATTTTAATTACAGGTTAAATAATAACTGTTTTTGCTTTCAAGAAACAACAGCTCCACTTACTTTGAACTTTCATTATCTGAAAACAGCGGCTGCTCCTAAGTCTTCCTTCTCAGCTCTGAATGTCGTCTTGTAGCAATACTCATTCTTGAAGATTTATTTGTATTGTATATGTTTGTAATGTCATGGTGTGTGTGTGTGTGTGCGTGAGTGTGTGTGTGTATGTGTGTGTCTCCAAGAAGGTGAGGAGAAGGCATCAGAACTCCTGGTGAGGAAGTTGCAGGAGGTTGTGAGTCCTTTGATGTGGGGGGATGGGAACTGAACTTAGGTCCTCTGGAAGAGCAGCAATGGCTCTTAACTGCTGAGCCATCCCTCTGCATAGTAGTTCTTTATTCCTAATATCTTCACATTTTAGTGTTTATGATCCTAACATTGAATAGAGGAAGCAGCCTGCCTTCAAAGTCCAGTAAATCCACTACGATCTGCCTTTTACTCTCATTTACTTTCTTTCTAAAATTTTTACTTATGATTTATTTTTATTTTATGTGTGTGGATGTTTTGCCTGCACATATATATGTTTCTGTCCTGTACCCGATGTCCTGGTAAGCTAGAAGGAGGTATCTGATCCCCTGGGATTGGAGTACAGACTGTTGGGAACTACCACACAGACTCTAGAATCAGACTCAGGCCCTCTGGAAGAACAGCTGGTGCTCTTAACCATAGAGCTATCTCCCTAGCCCCTTTATTTTTACCTCCAGTCTACCAATCTAGAATTTCCTTTTATATATAATATTAAGGAAATATTATATTCCAGGTAATGAGAGAAAAATTCACAGCTTTATACTGTAAAGACTAGTATATATCTTTGAAGACTTAAGCCCATTTTTTTCCATTTACTTTAAATATAGTAAACAAAAAAATCATTAAATAGTACTTAAAACACAATTTGTTCTCACTCAGAGTTGCAAAATTAAGACAGTCAGAGAAAGGCTTTCAATAGGTGACATGATCCAGTGATTCAATACTGTGCTTTGTGAAGCTTAATTTCCCTTACCAGACAGCAATCGCGTCTTTGATCTTACCACCCATGTTTACATAGTGATCCCAGAGGAACTATGGACTCTGGGATGACACCCTAATGTGCCCACAGTGACTGTACAGTTGAGATTAGCCATGATCAGAATGTGCAGATTCAGTTTGGACAAAACCAGGATTTAAAAACAAAATAGTAGCAACAATAATAACAACAACAACACCAGACTGCTAGGCTATCTCAGCTTGAAACCTGCTATACAATGTATTGAAGGGCTGAACACTGGAGAAAGTAGTCACTTGGCTGTACCTAGAGTTCTGTGACACATTTCTAAACTATCAGTGGTTAAAATAAAGTCTAATTCTAACTCTGTGATGATTGCAAAAAATTAATGTAAATAAATAAGTAAATAAAAAACTGTGTTTTATGTGTCCTCATATTTTCTTTAAAATGTACACTTTAAAATTAAGGCAAGACTAAAATGGGCAACATTTTAGTTTGTGTGGTTGTATGATATTCTATCACAGTGGTTCTTGATGGTTTGTAACCCCTTTGGGGGTGAAATGACGCTTTCACAGGGGTCACCTATCAGATATCCTGTATATCAGATATTTCATTATTCACCATATATATTCCTCAATATATACTTTATACATTATTCATAAAAGTAGTAAAATTAAGGAAAAAGTTCTGAAGTAGCAACAAAGTAATGTTATGGTTGAGTGTCACCATTATATGAAGAACTGTATTAAAGAGTTGCAGCATCAGGAACGTTGGGAACCACTGTTCTAGCGTATTTTAGAGGCCTCTGAAGTGGGAGGGTATTTAGGAAAGAAATGCAGTAAGGAAGACTTGGTTGTAGATTTTAGTCAGGTGGCTCAAACATAAAATGTAAAACATCCCAAGGACATGTCAGGTGCTCAGTCACTGGTGACGTTACCTAACTTCTGTCCTGAATTCTGTTAACTTGACCTGTTGCTACTATTAGTTGTTATTCTGGACTTGTAAATGTTAAAAACAATCCTGAGCTCCAGCAGCTTGCAAATATTTAGTTGATTGACTACTACCCAGAAAATGAGCTAACATAAAACAAAGCCTTTTCAGGGTCCTGGGGACTAAACACACACACACACACACACACACACACACACTAGATTTCTGTATTTGTGCCTGTGGTACCTAGACCTAGCCCAGGGCCTGGTGTATAACAACAACATTCTCCAGCTGGGTTTCATGCCTGGCTCTAGGTTTTAAAATTTAGGTTCCTACATTAGCATTGGGCACTTTTGAGAGTTAAATTCTAAATTTAAAATAACGTTTTCTCATTTTAGTCTTTCAATTGTATTAAATACTAAAACAATACCCCCAGGACCACATAAAACCAAATGTGGTGGTGTATGCTTGTAATCTTGACACTTCAGAGGTAAAAGTAGGAGAATCAAAAGTTCAAGGGTATCTTGAGCTGCATAGCAAACTGCAGAACATATAAAGCTGTCGGAAAAAAGGAAAGAAAAAAAAGAAAGGAAAAGAAAAAATGAAAAGTAAAGAAAGGAAAATAAAATAAAATGGGCAAATAAACCCAAAGGAATCTTAACTTCTATGTTTTATAGCAGATCAAAATACGACACAATTAGTCAATAAATAAATACCTCAGATAAAAAGGCGATAAAGGTCTTTCATCTTCTTGTGAGCTAAAAGGAAAAACATGTGAATTAATATAATTTCTATTAATGCAACATCTATATTTTACTAAAACTCTGTTCTGCCTGTCACAAGTTGTGACATATTACTGCCGATATTGTATTAGACTCAAGTTAACAAAACCCTCCAGCCAACATCAATTACTTCTTCAAAGAAGCCAGGTCATCAGATGTATTCTCAGATAAGCCTAACACTAAAGTAATTTATATCACACTTCAAGAAGCAGCTTTTTACTATATTTCCCCTCAAGTCTAACTAGATACTCATATTACACACAACCCTTACAAATGATTGCAGACAATTACTTTTGCAAAGTTAATTGTAAACATAAGATAATGATGACATACTTCTGTTAAGTGTGGGATACTTCAAGAGTGATTTCCTGGACGTGAAAAGCACATTCCCCTGAGGCAAATCTTGTGGGTTACTCTACCAGGGATTGTGGGATGGTAAACCATGCCAGAAAGCTTGATGGGCAGAGTGGGTTGAGACCCTGGAAACTCATGGGTGCACACCTGAGATGGTCAGCACCTCCCTGCTCCCTGCCAAATTCCTGAGCATGTACCACACTTCCCACATAAGGAAACATGACCTGTGGTCATGTAGGCCCAGAACAGAGTTCTCCATGCTAATGAGGTACCAAGAGGCTCTGAGGCCAATAAGCTTCCCTTCTCAGACGTTCTTCCCTGCAAAAGGTATTTAATCTTGGGTCCACCTTGAGAAGTTGTTATCGTGCGCATCCATTTTCCAGGATGAACAACCAATAAACAGTTTTGAACCAAAGACTGTCTCGTTCACTGAGAGTGGGGAACATGGAGCAGGCCTTCACCTACAGAGCTACTGCCTAAATCTCCCATAGAAGGCCATCTTTGCTCCCAACCCTAACCACCAAACTAAGGGCCTTCAGTGATGAGCAAAGCCAGAGCTCCCTTTCCCTTCCCCCAGCCTGTACCCCACCCCCAGCCACTCCCCCCAACCCCACATCCCTGCCTGGGCTAGGGCCCAACTCTCCTTTCAATTCTTCAAGACTCAGAGGAGCATGAATTTCCAGGAGTTTGGGAGCACCTCATCCCAGCCTCGTAGAGGGCCTGTGGACCCCACAACATTTCATTCTTGAACAGCAACCGGGAGCCCAGAAGCCAGGGAATAGCAGCTTCAGCTTTCTCAGAAAGAATGCTTTCCCACCCCAGCCAAGTGTCTCAGAGCTTCCCGGAAGCCCAGCACTGGCCCTGTGGCTGTATGGGATAAGCACAGTCAAATTCCCTGAGTTTTGCCTCCCCAGCAGGCATGCCCAGTGGTAGGATGGAACTCAGATCCACAAGTATAACCTGATATGGATAACAGGAGAGGATATAATTACAACACAGTTCAAGTGTCTCAGACAAAATGGAAATAATAGGAAGCTTAACGTAAAAGTATTTAACTTTTAAATGGGAAATACATGCTAAAATTTTCTTTAACATGCTTGTCTTCTAATAAACCACCTTTACTTATAAAAGCACAAAATGAGTTTCTCCTGCTAACTTGCTTTCTTAAGCATAAATCATGAAAATGGAAATGTTGGATTCAGGTGGCAATATTAAACTGGAAATAAACAATATCTTACTTCAGTGACATAATCTCTCACATACACACTTGTCTCCCCCCCAAACACACACAGAGACACACACATACGTACACGTACACGTACACGTACACATACACTGTCTGTCTGTCTTTCACACATGCACACAAACTCAAACTCACACATTGTCCTAAGAGTTGAAAAATGTTACATTCTAACTAGACTTGGGTAGGTACAATTTGACACACTCTTTTCCAATCTCCTATGATTTTTGGTTTGCAGTTTTAATCTTGCTTGAGTGTTCTCTTGCCTATGTTGTCAATACCTACTGTTCGTAGCATCTTTGTGTTTTATGTGCACATGCATACATAGACACAGGCATAAATTGGTTATGCCAATTCTTCCCATATGAGGGGTGATGTATCACTTTATTGTAGACTAAGGTAGATGAGTTAGCGGTAAAGCTGGTACCATTCAGCTAACAGTTAAGAGTTAGAGGTGACCACTTCTGAGAAATATTCAGGTTGGCTGGGATGAAGCTAGCTGAAGCAATGGTTCTATAGGGAGCAACTACTTTAAGCTAACCTCACACAAGAAATTTACATGTTTGGCTTCAAAATAGTCCTAGAATATACTTGACAAAACAATTGGGCTTGTTCTCTAATCAAGGGCTCTATATCAGGGAGACATCATGGCTAACACTGTGCCAAGAAAGCCACCCATATAACCCTGCAGTGCTTTTATGTTACAGGAGGGGAATACTGCCTTGTGCTGTGAAGGGAGGCTGTTAACACTAACATAAAACAACTTACAGTGAATTGACATGCTTAGAATATCTGTTTGGATTTTTTTAAGTGCTAAAGGTTTACAGGTATGTAGAACCTCCTGATGATATTTTATGACATGGTTATCTACAAAGTTTACATGAGAATTATGCATTGGAGCTAAAATATCAAACACAGAAAAACTCAATTTTAAGTAAGTTTATGATTTGGTTTTGAGTCACATTCATAGCTGTGCTGGGCCATGCTGCCAGATAGTACAGGGCTCTGAACAAAGATGTCTTCCTGTGTCTTCCACTATTGTTTTTGTAGATAGGTGAGCACTACACTACTTTGTAGCAAACAGAAGCAGTCCTCCTCCTCCTCCCCCCTCCTCCTCTTTCCCCTCCTCCTCCTTCTGTTTCTTCCCCTCCTCCTCCTCCCCTCCCCCTCCTCCTCCTCTCCCTCCCCCTCCTCTTCCTTCCCCTTCTCCTCTCTCTCTTTCTCCTCCTCATCCTTCCCCCTGTACATGCCTCCCACACAAATGCAATGAACTACTTATTACCTTTGGATCCTCATAGAGACTCTCACTTTATTTACTCTCATTTATCCAAAAAAGTATGCTCAAAATAGGAACATAACTCATCCAGGCAATGATGAGAGCAGAAGACGGAAACTGATCAGGTAGGGAAGAGACCCCAAAGCAGGAGTGCAGAGACTGTCCTTGGTGGGTGCTGAGGATGCTAGTTCTTGGCTCCTTGTTGTCTTTGTCTCTTGGTTGGAAGCTGTATGTGAGATGTGACTGGAACTGGACAGAAGCACTGGACACCTCATAGCTGGGCCATCCAGACTGACTAGCTCATTGTCTCCCTATGGTTCAGCCCAGTGTCTACCACAGGTTCTTTAAAAATGTCCCCAGAACTAGCAGCTTGATGATGTCCCATGCTCAGAGACCCTTCCTGCTTATAGGAACTCTACATTCACTTTCTCTTAAGTTCCTATTATGAATCTATAAAAACTTCTTTCTAAAACTTACCTTCAATGGTTCTTGAAATTCATTCTCTGAAGTCTCTAGACAAGAACATGAAAGCCACTGGCCTTGGGCCACTTAGGTGGTCAGTCTGATTTTTAGAGTCCTGACCTTTCAGAAAGACCTTGCTGTTCTCTAGGGCACCCCAATGTTACTGTATCACTAACTAGTCAGTGATGAGTACAATTTATTTTTATACCCTACCCTGTCTTGGTCCTGAATTGCCTTCTTACTGATTTTAATTATCAAAATAGTTTGTCATGGGCCAGGGATGTGGTTTGGATGCTTGAATGTCTGCCTGGAACTGGGATTAAAGGTGTCGGCCGTTATGCCAGTTCAAGAATGTCTCTTGATGGGAACACAGGTTTAGATCATAAGCAAACATCATTTTTAGGCTGTGTTGGCACAAAGTAAATTCATCAATGAGGCATGAAGTGAGAAACTACAAATCATAACTCTGTCATTTTGATCAACTTTAAGAAAAAAACCCACAGAAATTAAAATAAAGTGAATTAGACATTATGGATCATTAGTATACACCAGAATACAATCCATGTATGGAAAAACAAAATATGAAAAGAAAATGAAGGTAAATAAATCAAATTGATTAAATAATGGACATACTTCTTCCTTTTCATTTTTTAGAAGTGCCTTTGCCTGGGGCATAGCTATATGATTTTTGATAAAGTCATGCATCTGAAACAACTAAATCAAAGATTTTAAATTATTCAAATCAGTTAACTTTGAAGAATAATCAGGTACTCTGATTTCAGAAGCCACTCTAAGTCAAAAATCACCAAGGACAGTGCTTTTTAATAGCACCAAGAAAATGAACTATTTCACAAAATTTACAGTTCAGAATGGGAAACATTCTAAAGATCATTATTTCTATACAATTGCCAAAACAAATCCATTTTCGTCCCTGGCTCCCCATTACTTAGATAGATTCCTGACTGATGTTCATTTTCTGATAATCTTAGTCATGTCCAAAGACACTGAATGACTTCACTTAAATTCTAAATTAAGTATAATCCTTTGCCTGGATTCTAAACTTAGAATTCTGATTCACTTTTAAGTTTGAAAAACAAGCACATGCGCCACTGTGGATGAAGAAGAGAGTGGGGCTGTGAGGTTGTGCAGTGACAAACTAACAGCTTGGGATTCTTTCTTTCTTTTTTTGCTATTCCTGTAACACAAGGAGATGCTTGAGGTGTATAGTCTCTCTTAAAACAACTGCTGTGGGAAGAATGTTTAGCACAGACCCCAAAAGTGAACATCTAAGAGTTACAACTGAAGTGGCAATAGCTTAGACATCAGGGTTTTAGTGGACTCTTCTGGACTCACTTAATACGGCCAGCATTGATAAATCATATACATAAATGGCACCTACCCTTGGAATCCTTTCATGAGCTTTGGAATCACGCAGTGCCTATCCAGATCACTAGACAACAAGCTAACTAGAAACAGAAAAAGCATGGTGTTTTACGTGGGAAACAAACAAACCAAAACCAAACCAACCAAACAAATAAACAAGCCAAACCAAAACCCAAAATCTGTTGGGAGAATTCCCAGAATAGGGTATTCAGATGCATTTTCAAACTGTTGTCCCATTCTATGTCAAAATTGAATGTTAAT